AGAGAAGAGAGGAGAGAAAAGAGGAGAGAGAGAAGAGAGGAGAGAGAAAAGAGAAGACTAAAGAGAGAAGAGAGAGAAAAGAGAAAAAGGAGAGGAGAGAAGAAAGCAGAGAGAAAAGAAGGCCTGGAGACAAGGGAGAAGGGCGGGGAGCGCGGCGGGGCGGGCGCGGCGGCGGCGCTAGGGCTGCCCGCGCCACCACGGCGCGCGGAAGGGCCGGCGGCGCACGTTGGTGCCGCAGTGCACCTCGCCCAGCAGCCGGTGGTAGGAGGAGACGTCGTCGAGGAAGCTGCAGGCCAGGCCCAGCGGCTCGAGCAGCGCGCGCACGTGCCGCTCCAGGCAGCACTCGCCCTCCAGCACGGGCCCGAACGGCTTGGGGATGCCCACGTGCGCCGAGAGCACCAGCATGTTGACCTGCGGCACGGGCAGCGCCTCGGCATGCCGCGAGTGCCAGGGCTCGTTGGAGCGCCGYGGCTTCCCGTGCTGGGGGGAAGGGGCTTGCCGGGGTGGGGGGATGCCCTGCTGCTCCGGGGGATCCCACGGGAAGATGGTGCGGGGTGTTGGTTGGGTTGCATTGGAAGGGAGGAAAGTGGCCCGAGCTATGGGTTATTTATGGGAAGAAGGCAATTGGATCTGCTTGGCCCCACCAGCATCCCCTCCACGTCTGAGTGCCAGGGAGCTGCCCGGCTCCCTTTCCCACCCACAGCTCCARAGCACCCTCGGGATTCCCACCCCTCTCGCTTCCCACGAGGAAAAAGGGATTTGTCCGAATAAACCCCACGCCCAGCCATGCTGCCTTATTAAAAGAGCCCCAGGTGAGGGTGAAGGTGTTTCATCCCGCAATAACCCCCTGCTTTTTGTCCCGCCGGAGCAGGGGTCCCGCTCACCATGTTCGGGAAGAAGGCGACGGCCTTGCCCTCCGAGTCCATGCGGAAGAGCGCCGGCACGTCCAGGATGTCGCTCTCCGTCAAGCCCAGCTCCTTCTTGAGGATGTCCCTGTTCCAGTCAATGCAGCGCTGCAGGAAGAGAAGGGAGGAAAGGAAAGGAGGGAAGAGGTTTGGGGCCGGCTTGCGCTTTGCCTGGATTCCCGTTTGGTGATGCGGGCGGCTCCGGCCGGGATGTCCCGGCTCCGTCCTTACCTGCGCGTACTGGTTGTGCCGCGCCATGACCTCGTTGGAAAGGACCTTGTTAATGGTGACGCGTTTGGTGTCCGTCCCGGAGTAGCCTGTGGATGCGAACCCTGCTCAGGGAACGGAGTTGCTCCCGGTGGTCCCGGTCCCCTCGGCCTTGGGAGCGTGGATCCCGCAGGGGTGGCCTGAACCCTTCACGCGTGCCCGGTGCCTACGTGTCCCGGCGCCCGCCGCCTCATCCGGCGTCGGAGCCGGCCGGGAGCGGCGCCGCAGGGATCCGCGCGCTCCCGCCTCCGCCGAGATTCCTCCCGGACGGTGAAACCGCCTCTTTGCTCCGAGCCTGGGGCCGCGGCGCCCTCCCGCTTCGGCAGCGCCCGCCGTGGAGCCCCCTCACCCTTGAACATGGTGGCTTCGCCCCAGCCCTCCTTCTGCTTCTCCCGGAAGAGCTGGTAGCAGGCGGCGGGGCTGGCCAGGAGCATCCGGAATCCCTGCGGGAAACGGGAGAGGAGCCGCTCAGAGCTCCCTGCGGACSAGGGTGGCCCGGGCGCTGCGGGCAGAGCGGGGCGTTACGGGAAGCTCTCGGATCAGGGCCCTGCCAGTTGAGAGCTGCCCTGGCTGGCCCTCGTGGCCCATGGGCCCTGGGTGGCCTTGGTGGCCCATGGGCTTCTGCAAGAAGCTTGAGCCACCACATGGACACGTGGGAGAGTAGAGCCAGCCCGTGGCTTGGGCGTTGGAGGAAAAGCAGCCGTGGGGCTTTCCCTGTGGAGCTTTGAATTCCACACCAGCCACCTTGGGATTTTTCCTGTTTTCCAGGTGCCTTTTGGAGTCACCTTGGGATTTTTCCTGTTCTCCAGGTGCCCTTTGGAGGGAGCCAGGCAGAAGCGCAGCTGCCCGGAGCACCCTCATCCCGGCGCAGCCGACGGAGCCGCTTGCTCAGCCCCTTCCCGAGGGCGAGCGGGGCTGCGGCGGGGGTCCCGCCACCCACCTGCGTGTCAGCGCTGGGCACGAAGGTGACAAACTCGTCCACGTGGCCCACGCTCARCCAGTCGGAGTAGAGCTCCACGGGCGCCTGCACTTGCTGCGCGTAGAGGAACTCCCGCACCACTCTGGTCATTCGCCGCCCCGCAGCTCTGGTGGCGAAATTGCCCCCAAAAGGAGTGAAATTTGTGCATTTATCCATACTGAAGTGAGGGAAGGCTGATGTTGGGAAGGGAGGGAATGTGGAGGCACAAATTCAGCACTRCGGCTGGGTGCTCTCTGTTGCCGACTTGATTAAGCCCCTCAGTGTTTTCTTTCCTCCTTGCCTGGTATTTAAGGACATGTTTGCCCTTGCTTTGCTCCCAAACTCGCAGGTTCTGCCTCTCGCTTACGTGGGAAAGCTGCTTCCGATGAGGATCCTGCCCAGCGGATACTCCTTCCCGCCCACGGTCACCGGCGGGCTGACCTCCAGGTTGCCGAAGGAGTCGAGGCTGCTGACTGCCTCCAACTGAGGCTCCCTGGTCACGTAGCCAAAGTCCGGACCCTGCAGAAAGGGAGGTGCAGCTGAGGCCCCGGCCCTGCTTTGTGCCTCCGCGGACCTTGGAGCCGTGTTTGTTGCCCCCGGCCTTTCAGCGCGGATGCCTCTGCGGAGCCGCGTTCCAGGTGCTCATGGAAGTGGCACCAGGATGGCTCAGGAAGAGGCTACGGAGCGGCCATCCGGGGCTTCGGCAGCTCCGKGTCTGCTCATCCCTGTGGCATGGATCCGTCCCGCTTGCCGCACCGGGACCGCGCCCGCCGCCCCGGCACAGATCCAGTCTGCATCCAGGAGGCCGCTCTGCTGTGTCTCCCATCTTTTTTTTTTCCACAGAAAATGGAGGAAATCCTGCGATGCGCAAAGCCTTCCTCCGACGAGCTCCAGGGGTAAAAATCCCAAGAGCAGAAGCCGTCCCTGGACCAGGGCCAGCGGCTGGAGACAGAGCGGCAGCGCTGGCATTAGCGCGAATAGCAGGGCACGGAGGCCGTGCCGTGGGTGGCACATGCCCGGCGCGGCGCCCAGCCAGCCCGGCTCTCCTCGGCGTCCCGCCGGCCGGTGTCCCGCTTGGGCTGGTTATTTAGGGGACGGGGAGCCCTGCGTGGCTCGTGTCAAAGGGAGAGCTGAGCTCGGCCCCGCAGGGTAAATCCAGCCTAACAATAAGCCACCTGAAGGGCTCGACTTGGCTCAAATCCTCCCTAAGCCTCCTCGGGAGGACTTAGTCTACCTGGGGTTTAAGGTGCCGAGGTAGTTAACTCGTTGCCTTGAGGTCGTGCTAGACTGGAATGCTCCAGGGTGAGGGCGAAACGTTGGATAAGGAGGTGAGGCAGCTGCCAGCAGCAGGACGGAGGCTTGCCATAGTTGTGTGGGGGTCCGGGGCGTGCATGCAGCCTGTGGGGAGCTGCGGGTCGGCCCTGCTCTTTGGGATTTAATCCCGCCGGGTTTTGCAGCTCCTGTCAGTGCGGGGCAGCTGCTGAGCACGATCAGATATCCGCTGTTATTTTTTCATTAAATCTCACTTGTTAGTGTTGTGTTTCCCTAGAGGTGAAGCGTTCGGCTGGGCTAATCAGTTAACGCTGATTCCTGCAGGCTCTCCCTGCACCCCAGCCTGACCCTGCTTGCTTTCCTATGGGAGGCGAAGCTCCCGTGCCCATCCTGCACATCCAAGCAAAGCCAAGGTGGGATTTCGGGATGTGGCAGCACAAGCCCAGCCCGATGCCAGCGCCGTGGTGCCCGCGGTGGCAGCCTCCGGCTTATCCCAGGGCTGGAGAGGCGGGAAGAGCCGGGATGCAGCCAAGGCAGAGTCCTCCGGTGCAGGGAAAGCAGCAGGAGCAGGGACACCCGGCTGCGCTTGAGCCCAGGCTGTTGGGCGAAGCTTGGAGCTGCCAGGCCCGCTGCTCCCCCCTGCTCCGAGGCTTTTTTCTCTGTTGTCTTGTGATCTCGCCAGGGAACAAAGAGCTCGTTCATGCCGAGCAAACGCGGCCGGAGCCGTGGGGGTGCTCTGCCATCCCGCCCCCGTTCCCRGCAAATCCCGGCTGCTCAGCGCCGGGCAGGAGCGGGAGCAGCGCGGCGGGTGGCACAGACCGTGCCGGGGCTGCCTCTCTGCAGGGCTCTCCATGCGCTTTGGGGAGCAGCGGGTGCCTTGGCTGGAGGCTCCCGGGTGCCGTGCAAACTCCAGCACCTCCTTCCAGTTAACGCTCACGCAGCCAGGGCGGTTTCAACTGTCCGCTCACCGTCCTCTTCCTCCCTGGGACCATTTCAGGCCAGGTTTGCGGCATGCAGAGCCTGTCCCTTCCGGACTGGGTCTGACTGTGTCCAGTCCTGGGCTCCCCAGGACAGGAGGGATGTGGAGCTGCTGGAGAGAGTCCAGCGCAGGGCTATGAGGATGATCAGAGACCTGGAGCATCTGCCCTRKGAGCAAAGGCTGGGAGAGGAGRAGGCTGAGGGGGGACCTGATCAGTGTCTATAGATACCTCAAGGGAGGCAGTGAGGAGGAGAGGGAGGCCTCTTTTCAGTGGTGGTCACTGAGGAAACGGCCACAAACTGGAGCACCAAAAATTCCACAGGAACTTATGGAAAAGTGTCTTGACAGTGAGGGTGCCCGAGCTCTGGAACAGGCTGCCCGGGGAGGCTGTGGAGTCTCCTTCCCTGGAGATCTCCCAAACCCGCCTGGATGCAGCCTGTGSCCCGTGCTCTGGGTGACCCTGTGAGTGCAGGGGTTGGACTAGACAATCTCTAGAGGTCCCTTCCAACCCTACGGATTCTAAAAAAACACAGCTCACAAATCTGGTGTCTCCTTCCTGGCCCCCCTGGTGCTAAACGTACGGAGGAATCGGAGGTTCCCGAGGGCGCGCGGGCGATACCCGGGGGCAGCAGCCCACACGAGCCCGGCCTGCGCTCACCAGCAGCTCCTTGATGGGGAAATCCTTGAGCCCTCCATCGCGGGGGGAGTCCAGCACCACCGGGAAGCTCTTGTGGGGAGCGTGGATGTAGCCAAACTCGACCTCATCCTGCAGGAGCCCGGAGCAGAGGCCGGCGTCGACGTCGGCCCCGCTCCCGGCCCCGCTCCCGGGCACGGCGCCGGTGGCCCCGGTACCTGCATCCAGCGGTCGCCGCGGTTCATGTAGCCGTAGCAGACCTTGAGCTCGCAGCCCGCCTTGTCCACCAGCTTYCGCATCTCCTTCAGGAAGAGGTAGTTGTCCTTCACGCTGCCAAGGGGAAAGGCGGCAGGGAAGCGGTGCCGGGCGCCGCGCGCCCGCCCCGCCGCCCGCGCCGCCCCTACCTGCACACAAACACCGTCACGGGCGGCAGCGTGTTGGGTGTCATGATCCAGGGCGCCACGCGGAAGGCCACGGTGTCGGTGAAGACAGGCGCCGCGGGGAGGCCCTGCGTGGCGGCGGGAAGCGGCGCCCGCTGCAGGGAGCATCCCGGGACGAGGGGACCGCCCCGGGACGAGGGAACCATCCCAGGATGAGGGAACCATCCCGGGACGAGGGAACCGTGTCTCTCCCCCATCGCYGCGCACCTCGGCCAGGGTCTCCAGGAGGCTCACGTGGATGGAGACGAGGCCGGAGAAGGCGGCGTCGGGGAAGCGCAGCCCCTCCACGAAGAAGTCCAGCTCGGCGCCGCCGCCCGGGTAGCGCACGGCGTGGAAGAGCTTGCGCCGGCCCAGCACGTGCACGTAGCGCTGCCCCAAGGAGGGGTCTGCCGGGGGCGAGGAGAGGGGCGCTGGGCGCCCGAGCCCGTCCCGCCGCCCGCGGCCCCGGGGACGGGGTGTTGCAGCCCCCCGCACTGCAGCTCTTTCGGGTGCCCGGGGGAAAACCGCCCAACCGGCAGGAAAAGCCTTCCTCCAGCTCCAGCTCCTGCCATTTGGCTGCTGCAGTGCAAGGGTGACGCCTCCCGAATCTTTTCCAGCAGGAAAAGGCATTTTTTGGGGACGGGGGGTCCAAGGCCTGCAGCTCCTGGCTGCTTCCCGATCCATGCGGCCCGCAGCGCGCTGGCCCCCGGGCTCCCGCCTTGCCCTCCGCTTGGCTTCCAGCGGCGGGATGGGGTTKTGATCCCAAACGCTCCCTGCATCCCGCGGGAGCCGGGAACGGGATGCATGTCTCCCAGGCTCGCTGCTTTCCCTACGGCATCTCGCTCCGGCTCGGACCCACCGGGAAGCCCGTGTTTGGTGAGGGTGGGAAGCGCCAGGCCGGGGACCRCGAGGCGAGAGCGCAGGGAGGACGCGGCAGCACCGGGACCTACTCTGCACGTAGAAGACGCCGACTTTGTCAGCGTCCGAGGCGGCCACGTGCAGGACGAGCTGGTAGCCGCGGGGCAGCTCCGGCGGGCCCTCGGTCCTCAGCACCATGCGAGACATGTCCAGCAGATCTGGGGGCGAGGCAGGAGCCAGCGCTGGGCGCCCCATCCCTCTGCTCCCAGTGCTGGTTTCTCCCCAGCTTCCCAGGCCATCGGTCTCCTCGGGTGCTGGCCGAGCGCCCAGGCCCAGCCGGGCTCATACCCGGCCTTTCAAAGCCGCCTTTTTCTTCCCGCAGCCCCATTCCTGGCATCGCAAAACCAACCGGCACCGGCCACAGATGCCAGAGAGCAACGCGGYGCCGTTCCAACCCGCAGACACCCAAGGCGCGCGGAAGGGGCGTTAGAACAGCAAGATCCCTCTAAAAACCCCAAGATCCAGATTACAGCTGAGACTTAGACTTCCGAAAGCACCTCAGGGCTTGCTCTCCTGCAGCAGCGAGGGCAGCTAAACCCGGGGCAGGAGCGGCGGCCGGGCGCACGCACCTTCCCTGTCCAGGAGGCGCTCGTCGTGGCAGTCGGGCGCGGGCAGCGCCGGGCTCTCCCGGTCGCAGTTCACCAGCAGGATGGCGCCCTGGCCCTCGGGCCCCCACGTCCACGAGCCCTGGGGACGCGCGGCGCGGGCTGGTGAGCGGCCGGCTGCGGTGCGGCTCGGCGCCGCGCGCACGCCCGGACGTCTTGGGGTACCTTCTTGGGGTTGTTCTTCTCCACCACGCCGTCCCGATCCGCGTCGACGTCCAGCGAGAGCCCTGGGGACACCAGCTTGGGTTTAGGCTCGGGCTGAGGCTCAGGCTCAGGCTCAGACTCAAACTCCGGCTCAGACACAGGCTCAGACTTGGGCTTGGGCTCAAACTCAGGCTGAGGCTCAGACTCAAACTCAGGGTCAGATACAGGCTCAGGCTCAGATTTGGGCTCGGGCTCAAACTCAGGCTGAGGCTCAGACTCAAACCAAAGGTCAGGCTCAGGCTCAGGCTTGTGCTCAGACTCAGGCTCAGACTTGGAGTCAGGCTTGTGCTCAGACTCAGACTCGGGCTCAGGTTCAGGCTCAGACTCAAACTCAGGCTCAGACTTGGACTCAGACTAAGGCTCAGACTCAGGTTCACACTCAGGCTCAGGCCTGGGCTCAGACTCGGGCTCATATTCAGGCTCAGACTCAAGCTCAGACTCAGGTTCACACTCAGGCTCAGGTCTGAGCTCAGACTCAGGCTCATATTCAGGCTCAGACTCAGGCTCAGGTTCAAGCTCAGACTCAAACTCAGGCTCAGACTTGGACTCAGACTAAGGCTCAGACTCAGGTTCACACTCAGGCTCAGGCCTGGGCTCAGGCTCGGGCTCATATTCAGGCTCAGACTCGGGCTCATATTCACGCTCAGGCTCATATTCAGGCTCAGACTTGAGCTCAGACTCAGGTTCACRCTCAGGCTCAGGCCCWGGCTCAGACTTGGGCTCATATTCAGGCTCTCATTCAGGCTCGGGCTCATATTCAGGCTCAGACTCAGGCTCAGACTCCAGCTCAGGCTCCGGCTCAGGCTCACCGATGCCCGTGAGGAAGACCCCGGCTTGGTCCATGGCTTGTCCTCCCTCTCCGTAGTAGYTCACGGTGACCTGCGGCAGCCCGCGGCTCCTGAGCAGCCCGCGCGCGGAGGCCGGGCCGAGGCCGGGCCTCYGCGGCGCCGCTCCTCACCTTGTTGTCGCCGGCCTCGGCGCTGGCCTGCCGCATGCCGAGCCTCAGCACCGTGCCCTTGCCGAGGGGCCAGCGGCGCCCGCCGTCCGCCGGCGCCGCCTCCGCTTGCCCCGCGGCCTCCACCTCCACGCTCACGGCCTCCGTGTGCTTGAGGCTGAAGGAGGCCGCGCCGGCGGGCGCCGCTCTGCGGGGAGAGACGGCCCGAGGTGCCCGAGGTGCCCGAGGTGCCAACGGCGGCACCCCGAGATGCCCCCGCGCCAGCCCGTTCCCTGCGGGAAGCTCCGTGCAGCTTTCGGGCGGCTGAGCCGCAGCACTCGGGGGGTTCTTGGGAAGCTGAGTCAAACCCATTGCTCAACAGTTYGTCCGAAGAGCGTTTCGGACGAAGCCGAAAGCTTTTGCTGGAGGAAATGCGAATTTCGGTGGAATTCGCCTGATCTGCAAATGTTGCACCACGCTCCCCGCTGCCTGGCTTCGTCTTCCTCCAGCCGCTCTCTCCTGGCTCCCCATCCCTGTTTCCCCGCTTGTTTCCAGGCTTGTGGAGCTCGGGAGCCGCTCGCAGCCGGCAAGATCCAGGCTGACACCCGAGAGCGCCCGGCGGCCGCGGGAAACCTGAGCGCTGCCCGGCCGCCCGGCACGTCTTGCGCGCTGGAATTGCCTTGCGTCGCAATGCGAAAGGGCTCGGCTTGCCCGCCGGCCGGGCTCAGGACAATCCCACCAGGACAATCCCACCAGGAAAGGGGGTTGACCTGGGGAGAAGCTTTTCCTGAGCGCCAAGGGTGGCRTGTGCAGGCGCAGCCGGCTGAGGCCCGGCGCTGCCTCCTGCTTGCTGGAATGAAGCGTTTTAAGGCAAAACGCTGCGTTTCAGGTCCCTCCCGCGGAGCCCTTGGCCCGCGGCCTGCAGTGCCCTTCAGGATAGGCTCTTTCCTCCCGGCTCCCAGCTATATTGCTTCCTCATATTCCTATCCCAAGGAATAGCTGCGGAGCGACCGCTCGGGATGAGCTCCGGCCGCACTCGGGGCGCGTAACCGTCCCCCTCGCACCGGGGGCTGCGCTGGCTTCGCGGGGCCCCGGCACGGCTCTGCGAAGGACCCAGGATGCTCCGTCTCTCTCCCTGCTGCAAGGAGCAGCTTCCCTAGGGAAGGAGACTCGGACACGGGGTGTCCGGAGAGGAGCCGCAGCTCCCTGCGGCCAGCAGGTGGGAATTGCACCGGGTTGTGCGTTTAGAGCCTGGCCAGAGGAGGGAATCTCCTCTTCTCCTGGCCTCAAGGTGAGGCTGGGGAGCTGGGATGGGGCCGGGGCATCCRGGGAGATGCAGGGACTCGGGAAGGGGCCAACGGGGACGGCGGGGAGCAGACGGAAAAACAACCGTCGGGAAATGGAGCAGGGGGCTGAGGAAGGGGGAAAAGCGAAGCGGACGGCGAAGGAGGGCGCGGGGAGAGGGCAGGGTGGAGGCGCCCGACTCACCCGTAGACATCGGCGGCGATGCGGGTGCCCAGCACGCAGAGCGCCTCGATGCGGGCGCCCGCCTGCAGGCGCAGCGTGCGCTCGCGCAGCATCGCGCCGCAGCCGACGGAGACGCTTGCCCGCCCGACGGGCTCCTCGCACCTGCTCCCGCGCYGCCCGGCTCCTCCTCCAGCCCTCCTCCTCCTCCTCTTCCTCCGCCTCCTCCGGACAAAGTCAAGCGCCCTTCCCCGAGGCGGCGCCGGGGGGGTGAATTTGGCACCGCTCCTTYGCAAGCCCTGGTGCCCCCATCGCCAGGGCGGAGGGACCGCTTGGACCCTCCGGAGCGCCGTGAAAACGATCCCGGCGGGGAGGGATGGAGCGGGAGAGCGGCTGGCGCAAAGCCCGGCGGCCTCGGAGCGCCTGGCCGGGAGCTCCCCCAGCTGTCCCCAGCGTCCCGGCCTCCATCTCCGCCGTGGCCCTTGCTCCCTGCCTATGGAAAAGCCCTAGGCGAATTGTGGGAGAAGAGCCCGATTTCCAAGCTTCAGCTCCCGGGAATAGAGGTCTGTGCTGGCAGCCTGTGCCCGTGCTGGTGGCACTGGCAGATACAGAGCTAAGCATTCATTGAAACCTCCCAAACTCTCCCCCAGATTTCGGAATAACCTGCCCGAGCCACAAAAAAAAAAGCGGGAACAAGGAAAYGTTTGGCTTAACTTCCCTATTTTTGCTCCTTTTAGGCTTTTAGTGCTGCGATTTGAGCAAACAAGGGTGCAGCTCCAGCGTCACTGAAGCTCGGGAGCAGAGGCCCTTTTGCTGCCTCTCTGCCTGCACTGAGCGGGGCTTTTTTTGGCAAGAAATCTGTTTTCTGAAGGGCCGCGGGCGTTATCGGCGGCAAGGGCGAGCGGGAGGCGCTGCGGCGGCCCGCGGCGCCAGCGGGAGCGTCGCGGTCGGCCCCGCGCTACGGCGCTGCCGGCACCCGGCGTCGCTCGGGGCCCGGCTCTGCTTAAACCCCCGGTGAAAGAGGAAGCAGGAAGGAGGAAAATAAACTAAAGCAAATAACGAACCCAACCCGTGCGGAGTTTGCACGAGGCGGCTCTTCGCAACGGGTCTTTGCATCATACGCAACTCGCTGTGCTTTTTTACCCGTTTTTTTCGCCCCAAAAGCAGAGCCTGCAGCGGGTATGTCCCTCGCCCCGTGCCTGCTAGCCGGGCACTCACAGGCAGGGGGACGGAGAGGTGCCCCAGGGCCGTTCGGATGCGGGCGAGCAGGGAAAGCAGCTTCTCGGTGGCCGCTCTCACTTCCCAAATCCTCCGCCTGGGCTCGGAGCATCCCAGTTTGCAGCGCGGAAGCCAAACGCTGTTTGAAATCCTCCTTCACCTTAGAAAGAAACCCTGGAAAACACCTTCCAATGCAGCAAGACCCCAGCATCCCCAGGGAAACTGGAACGCAGGGCTCGCCGCTGCACCCACATTTAGGGGTGCTTTGGAAACATCCGCTTTTTGTGCTTATCAAACCCAGCGGCCGCATCSTAACGGCCAGAATCAGCCGGTGGCTGCCGCTATCACTGCGATTCGAGGCGTTTTAGTCACGTCATTGYCTCACTCAGCTTAGCTCCGCTTTGCTTCGGCTTTGTGGAACTGTRTCCTCTGCCCTGTTTGCAGGGAAGGATTCGCCCAGCGCAGCCAGGCAGGACAGACCCCGCGGAGCAGTCGGAAAAGGTCACCCCAAAGCTGGGCTGAAAGGTGCAAAACCAGCTCCGAGGGAGCCCCGAGCCGAAGAGGACGGAGGCCGTGGCCACCCACGTCGGGTCCTCTGCCTCTGGGCTGTGGGCTTGACTTTGGGGGCCCCGTGGGTATGGGGGTGATGGGGACGGCACTGCTGCCCGGTCCCACTAGGTGTCACCTGCACCCTGTCCCTGGCGGCCCCAAGGTCCCCCCTGGGCTCTCTGCAGAGCTTGAGTTTGGGAGGAAAGCGAGCCCAGGCTGGGGCAAGGGGAGCAGGGACGAGGACCCTGCCGGGTCCCGGGAGCCCTGGCACAGTGTCCACGCCGCGCTGGGGGACATGATCCTCATGCACCCCCTTCCTCCTCCTCCTCCTCCTGCAGCCAGGCTTTGACGCAGGCTTTGCTGAGCGCGATCAGCTCAATCAGACATGCTTCATGCATATATATACACATATATATATATATACACACCATATATATGCATGCGTATCTGCAGATGTCCGGGGCTGGTGGTTTCGCAGCTGCAGCCAGGCTGGTGGGAGGCGCTCGGGCGCCGTGCCGGGTTAGGAGCCCCTGCCCGGCCGGGGGTCCCCGCGCCAGCCCCTTCCGCGCGGCCGGGGGCCGCTCCGTGCGTCTCCCCGCGTCCCGGCTCGGGAGGAGCGGCGCCGGACGGAGCCCCGGGGGCGGCGAGCGGGGCCGTGGTCGCCGTGTCCTTGCGGCTGCCCTTGGCCCGTGGGAGGTGCAAACAGGTGGCCGGGCGCGAGGCGCCTCCGTGGCCCCGGCAGCCGCCCCGCGGCCTCCGCGGCACCGGGGCCTTTGAAGGCGGCCCGCGGGGCGGCCAGGCCGGCGTGGAGCGGAGCGGGAGCAGCCGCAGGGTCCATCCGGGTGGCACCCGAGCCGGGGCCGGCTGCCCGCCCCGGACCCATCGCTCCCGGCTGCAGCGGGAGCTGCTTCSTGAGCTGCTGGCATCGGCCCTTGGATGTTCTCCGTGGGGAAGGATGGAGCAGAGAGCTGAGCATCCCAGCAGCGAGCGCAAGGACAGGACAGGCTGCGGAGGCATCTCTGCTTGTGGCTCCTGGGCAGCCCCAGGCACTTCATGTGCATGATCCTTCTCATGCTCCTCAGGTGTCAACATCCATTTCCCCCCAAAATCCCATTTCAGCCACGTCAGGACCAAGCTCCATTGGGTYTCTCTGGGATGGAGGCTTCAAAGGGCTTCCAAGAGCCTGGCTCTGTCCTTCCTCTGTGAGCTTTGGCTGGGTGTGGGCGCATGGGTGCTCCGGCCATGCTTCACTGGAGGCTTCGCCCAAATGCGGGAGGCTTCCCGGCTGCCACGGCTAATGAAGTAAATCCCTTGGCAAACACCAGCGGGACTTGATAACTGGTTCCATGTCTTGCTCTAGCACGAGTAATTAGGAGGACAAGGCTCTTAATGTTACTGCCTGCAATTAGGCAGGCAGAGTGATAAATATGAGGCAATTATCGGCTTAAAGAGATTATCAAACTTTCCTCGACGGAGGAGCGGCRGTGCGGAGCCGGTGGCAGGAAGACACTGCAGGAGCAGGCGGCACCGGTCGCACGCGTTGGCTCGGGATCTAGGGGCTCTGCTCCTGCCACCGCGCCGTGACCCAGAGCGCCGGGTGTCTCCATGGGCGGCGCGATCCCGCAGTACCGCGCTGGTTTGGTGTCTCCTGACAGCCCTACCAACGCCCCGTAATGATGCATAGACCTCATAGGGTGAGGTCCACATGGGCGCTGGAGAAAGAGCTCCAGCAGCTGCGATTGCATCAGATGAGGCACAAACGCTGTCGCCGTGGTCTCTGTGCCCCGTCCGGCTCCATCCCACAGCCGGGAGYCTTCCCCGCGCCGCGGCGGCCGTGCCGTGGCCGCCGGTCACCGGCCGTGCCGGAGCCACCAGCTGAGAACCGGTGTTCAGAGACCCCGGCCAGAASAAGGGAGACACATCAAGCAGCAAAACACTTGAGGAAAACCCCAACCAAGCCTGGCCAAGCTCTTGGGTGGCTTGTGGTGGCCAAGCAAATCCCATGGCGAGGAGCAGCACTGCGCGTTCCCTAGGAAAACTGCGTGCCCAGCACGTCATAGGGGTCTGGGTTCACCAACTTCTCTCTGATCCCTCCTGCACCGGGAATCTTAATAGCAGCCTCTCGAGACAAGGTGTTATTAGGAAGAGCCACTCAGCGCTGAATGGGCTGAGCTGACTTAAAGTTGTAATCCTCCCTGCTGCTGCATGGGCATGTCGCAGCTAATAGCAGGTGGAGGAGGAAGAAGAGGTGAATGCAGCTCCCACCCAGCGAAGACAATGTGGATTGGGCTGCAGAGAGCATCTGTAGCTACCGTGGCTGCGAAGAATGCGCCGTGACTAAACCCGAGCGTGGCCGCACAAGGCGCAGACTTGAGGCTCGGGCTCCCCGGCCTCAGCCCACCTCTCCCACGCCGATAGGATCGAGGGCGGGTTTTCGGAGGGGAGAGCGACCGCACTGGCACGGGGCGAAGCGCACGCTTGCGAGCGCCAGCGCTGGACCTCTGGCAGCCAGAAACCACCGTCCTCCACCTCCTGCCAGATTACAGGCCGTAACGGCATGACCCCRTGGGGATTAAGGTGTGTTCCGTGTCCGGCACAGGGCTCAGAACCAGCCGAGCAGGATGCGACGCCAGAATCGCGGCAGGCGGCAAGCTCAGCACCATGGCTAGTCTAAACCAGTGGGACCAGCAGCCGCACGTGGAAATGAAACTCCCGGTGTTACATAACGCTCTGCCGGAGGAGGCCTTGGTAGAGCAAAACCTCTCGGGGAACGGGACGAGCTCCTGCTTGGAGCCCACTGCTTTGACCCTCATAGACCGCTTGAAGTGCTTTAGGGCTGTGCAAGCGCTTGTACTCCTCTTGTGGTAGGGTTTATAAGCTGAAAGTGCTCCAAGATCTGTCCACGAGCTCCATAAGTTGGGCTCGTGCTGGGTTTTGGTCCTTCAGGTCTTGCCTACAGCCTCAAAGCAAGCAGGGTCTTGAAGACCTCAGAGCAGGGCTCTGCCCCAGCGAGCTGTCCTGATCTTGTTAAAGCTGTGCTCCTGTACGAGGCAGCGGGCTCTTTGACTGCCACAATTAAAGTCAGAAGAGCTCTTTAATGCAGACGCGCTTGGAGATGTTCAAAGCCGTTGGGATGTCTTGAGTTTGATGGCGCTGAGAACGGTGTCAACGCTTCGCTCGGCCCAACGGCCCAGCTAGGCTCTCTCCCGGCTGAGCACGCGCCTCACGATGTGACATTGGGTGACAAGTCCACGCGCTGCCAAGCACGCTCAGGACCTTCTTGCAATGGGTCCTGCTGCCCACAAAACTGTGGCTTCTTGGCTCAGGGTTTGTCCCTCAGACACCCCGCAAAG